TGTGGTTAGTGAGAGATGTATCTGGATAGTGGTGGATGTTAGTAGGTAGTTGTTGCATGTGGTTAGTGAGAGATGTATCTGGATAGTGGTGGATGTTAGTAGGTAGTTGTTGCATGTGGTTAGTGAGAGATGTATCTGGATAGTGGTGGTTGTTAGTAGGTAGTTGTTGGATGCGGTTAGTGAGAGATGTATCTGGATAGCGGTGGTTGTTAGTAGGTAGTTGTTGCATGTGGTTAGTGAGAGATGTATCTGGTTAGTGGTGGGTTTGAGTTGGTAGTTGTTGCATGTGGATGGTGCATGTTGCATGTGGTTAGTGAGAGATGTATCTGGATAGTGGTGGTTGTTAGTAGGTAGTTGTTGCATGTGGTTAGTGAGAGATGTATCTGGTTAGTGGTGGGTGTGAGTTGGTAGTTGTTGCATGTGGTTAGTGAGAGATGTATCTGGATAGTGGTGGTTGTTAGTAGGTAGTTGTTGCATGTGGTTAGTGAGAGATGTATCTGGTTAGTGGTGGGTGTTAGTTGGTAGTTGTTGCATGTGGTTAGTGAGAGATGTATCTGGTTAGTGGTGGTTGTTAGTAGGTAGTTGTTGCATGTGGTTAGTGAGAGATGTATCTGTTTAGTGGTGGGTTTGAGTTGGTAGTTGTTGCATGTGGTTAGTGAGAGATGTATCTGGTTAGTGGTGGGTTTGAGTTGGTAGTTGTTGCATGTGGTTAGTGAGAGATGTATCTGTTTAGTGGTGGGTTTGAGTTGGTAGTTGTTGCATGTGGTTAGTGAGAGATGTATCTGTTTAGTGGTGGGTTTGAGTTGGTAGTTGTTGCATGTGGTTAGTGAGAGATGTATCTGTTTAGTGGTGGTTGTTAGTTGGTAGTTGTTGCATGTGGTTAGTGAGAGATGTATCTGGTTAGTGGTGGTTGTTAGTAGGTAGTTGTTGCATGTGGTTAGTGAGAGATGTATCTGGATAGTGGTGGATGTTAGTAGGTAGTTGTTGCATGTGGTTAGTGAGAGATGTATCTGGTTAGTGGTGGGTGTTAGTAGGTAGTTGTTGGATGTGGTTAGTGAGAGATGTATCTGGATAGCGGTGGTTGTTAGTTGGTAGTTGTTGCATGTGGTTAGTGAGAGATGTATCTGGTTAGTGGTGGATGTTAGTAGGTAGTTGTTGCATGTGGTTAGTGAGAGTCGTATCTGGTTAGTGGTGGGTTTGAGTTGGTAGTTGTTGCATGTGGATGGTGCATGTTGCATGTGGTTAGTGAGAGATGTATCTGGATAGTGGTGGTTGTTAGTAGGTAGTTGTTGGATGCGGTTAGTGAGAGATGTATCTGGATAGCGGTGGTTGTTAGTTGGTAGTTGTTGCATGTGGTTAGTGAGAGATGTATCTGGATAGTGGTGGTTGTTAGTTGGTAGTTGTTGCATGTGGTTAGTGAGAGATGTATCTGGTTAGTGGTGGGTTTGAGTTGGTAGTTGTTGCATGTGGTTAGTGAGAGATGTATCTGTTTAGTGGTGGGTTTGAGTTGGTAGTTGTTGCATGTGGTTAGTGAGAGATGTATCTGGATAGTGGTGGTTGTTAGTTGGTAGTTGTTGCATGTGGTTAGTGAGAGATGTATCTGGATAGCGGTGGTTGTTAGTAGGTAGTTGTTGCATGTGGATGGTGCTAGTTGCATGTGGATGGTGCTAGTTGCATGTGGTTATTGTAGGCGCTGGGTTGTAGGTGCGACAAGACGAGGTGAAGGACGAAGATGATTTGACCGCGTTTGCTCCGGCGGACGAGGTGAATCTCGGGAGGCTTTCACCTTTCCTCGTCAATTCGCCACACCCACCCCCAACAATCCAGAGGCCACACCAATCGCCCATCATCAACACATGGGAGACTGACGAGGTGCGGAATAAGAATCCCCTTGTCATCCACCATGAACCACGGGAAGAGACGTGAAGAGGTAAGCTACCAGTCCCCTCATCCACTACCACCACCACGAAGTGAAGAGGTGAGCTACCAATCCCCTCATCCACCACCACGAAGTGAAGAGGTGAGCTACCAATCCCCTCATCCATTACCACCACCAGCACGGAGTGAAGTGAAGAGGTGAGCTACCAATCCCCTCATCCACCACCACGAAGTGAAGAGGTGAGCTACCAATCCCCTCATCCACCACCACCACGGAGTGAAGTGAAGAGGTGAGCTACCAATCCCCTCATCCACCACCATGGAGTGAAGAGGTGAGCTACCAATCCCCTCATCCACCACGAAGTGAAGAGGTGAGCTACCAATCCCCTCATCCACCACGGAGTGAAGTGAAGAGGTGAGCTACCAATCCCCTCATCCACCACCAAGTGAAGAGGTGAGCTACCAATCCCTTCATCCACTACCACGAAGTGAAGAGGTGAGCTACCAATCCCCTCATCCACCACGAAGTGAAGAGGTGAGCTACCAATCCCCTCATCCACCACGGAGTGAAGTGAAGGTGAGCTACCAATCCCCTCATCCACTACCACGAAGTGAAGAGGTGAGCTACCAATCCCCTCATCCACCACCACAAAGTGAAGAGGTGAGCTACCAATCCCTCATCCACAAACACCACCACGGAGTGAAGTGAAGAGGTGAGCTACCAATCCCCTCATCCACCACCACCAGCAAGGAGTTTAGAGGTGAGCTACCAATCCCCTCATCCACCACCATGGAGTGAAGAGGTCAGCTACCAATCCCCTCATCCACCACGAAGTGAAGAGGTGAGCTACCAATCCCCTCATCCACCACGGAGTGGTGAAGAGGTGAGCTACCAATCCCCTCATCCACCACCAAGTGAAGAGGTGAGCTACCAATCCCCTCATCCACCACGAAGTGAAGAGGTGAGCTACCAATCCCCTCATCCACAACGGAGTGAAGTGAAGAGGTGAGCTACCAATCCCCTCATCCACCACCACCACCACGAAGTGAAGAGGTGAGCTACCAATCCCCTCATCCACAACGGAGTGAAGTGAAGAGGTGAGCTACCAATCCCCTCATCCACCACCACCACCACGAAGTGAAGAGGTGAGCTACCAATCCCCTCATCCACCACCACCACCAAGTGAAGAGGTGAGCTACCAATCCCCTCATCCACCACCACGAAGTGAAGAGGTGTGCTACCAATCCCCTCATCCAAGGCCACCACGAAGTGAAGAGGTGAGCTACCAATCCCCTCATCCACCACTACCACCAGCACGAAGTGAAGAGGTGAGCTACCAATCCCCTCATCCAAGGCCACCACGAAGTGAAGAGGTGAGCTACCAATCCCCTCATCCACCACCAAGTGAAGAGGTGAGCTACCAATCCCCTCATCCACCACCAAGTGAAGAGGTGAGCTACCAATCCCCTCATCCACCACCACCAGCACGAAGTGAAGAGGTGAGCTACCAATCCCCTCATCCACCACGGAGTGAAGTGAAGAGGTGAGCTACCAATCCCCTCATCCACCACCAAGTGAAGAGGTGAGCTACCAATCCCCTCATCCACCACCACCAGCACGAAGTGAAGAGGTGAGCTACCAATCCCCTCATCCACTACCACCACCACGAAGTGAAGAGGTGAGCTACCAATCCCCTCATCCACCACCACCAGCACGAAGTGAAGAGGTGAGCTACCAATCCCCTCATCCACCACCACCACGGAGTGAAGTGAAGAGGTGAGCTACCAATCCCCTCATCCACCACCATGGAGTGAAGAGGTGAGCTACCAATCCCCTCATCCACCACGAAGTGAAGAGGTGAGCTACCAATCCCCTCATCCACCACGGAGTGAAGTGAAGAGGTGAGCTACCAATCCCCTCATCCACCACCAAGTGAAGAGGTGAGCTACCAATCCCTTCATCCACTACCACGAAGTGAAGAGGTGAGCTACCAATCCCCTCATCCACCACGAAGTGAAGAGGTGAGCTACCAATCCCCTCATCCACCACGGAGTGAAGTGAAGGTGAGCTACCAATCCCCTCATCCACTACCACGAAGTGAAGAGGTGAGCTACCAATCCCCTCATCCACCACCACAAAGTGAAGAGGTGAGCTACCAATCCCTCATCCACAAACACCACCACGGAGTGAAGTGAAGAGGTGAGCTACCAATCCCCTCATCCACCACCACGGAGTGAAGTGAAGAGGTGAGCTACCAATCCCCTCATCCACCACCACCAGCAAGGAGTTTAGAGGTGAGCTACCAATCCCCTCATCCACCACCATGGAGTGAAGAGGTCAGCTACCAATCCCCTCATCCACCACGAAGTGAAGAGGTGAGCTACCAATCCCCTCATCCACCACGGAGTGGTGAAGAGGTGAGCTACCAATCCCCTCATCCACCACCAAGTGAAGAGGTGAGCTACCAATCCCTTCATCCACTACCACGAAGTGAAGAGGTGAGCTACCAATCCCCTCATCCACCACCAAGTGAAGAGGTGAGCTACCAATCCCCTCATCCACCACGAAGTGAAGAGGTGAGCTACCAATCCCCTCATCCACAACGGAGTGAAGTGAAGAGGTGAGCTACCAATCCCCTCATCCACCACCACCACCACGAAGTGAAGAGGTGAGCTACCAATCCCCTCATCCACCACCACCACCAAGTGAAGAGGTGAGCTACCAATCCCCTCATCCACCACCACCAGCACGAAGTGAAGAGGTGAGCTACCAATCCCCTCATCCACCACGGAGTGAAGTGAAGAGGTGAGCTACCAATCCCCTCATCCACCACCACGAAGTGAAGAGGTGAGCTACCAATCCCCTCATCCACCACCACCAGCACGAAGTGAAGAGGTGAGCTACCAATCCCCTCATCCACCACGGAGTGAAGTGAAGAGGTGAGCTACCAATCCCCTCATCCACCACCACGAAGTGAAGAGGTGAGCTACCAATCCCCTCATCCACCACCACCAGCACGAAGTGAAGAGGTGAGCTACCAATCCCCTCATCCACCACGGAGTGAAGTGAAGAGGTGAGCTACCAATCCCCTCATCCACCACCACCACCAGCGACTCTTCACCTGTCGAGGGCTCGGATCGACTCCCGCTCGTGTGAGCTGAGACCGCCGCCGCCGCCTTCACCGCCACCCTCGCTCCCGTTCCCGCCGCCGCCGCCGTTCTTGCCGTTACCACCACCACCAGCAGCACCACCACCACAACCACCACCACCAACAACAACAACGTTGTTGCTGCTGCTGTTGTGACTACTACAGCCGCTTCCTTTGTCGTTGTCTTTCTCGCTGCTGCTGCTGCTGTCACCACCACCACCACAACCACCACCACCGCCGCCGTTGTTGTTGTTGCCACCGCCGCTGCTGCTGTTCTCTCCGCTGACGGCGCGATGGTGGCTGCTGCTGCTGCTGCTGTTGTTGTTGTTGCTGCTCTCGCTGTTGTTGCCGCCGCCGCTGTTGTTGTTGTTGTTGCCGCTGCTGCTGTTGTTGTCGTCGTTGTTGTTGTTGTCGGCGCGCGCGCTCGCCCTCTCCGCCGCCGCCATCTTTGGCTGGGGCATCGCCCGGCGCGCGCGACGCTGGGGGGGGGGGCGGCGGTGGGGGAGGGGGGCGGGGAGAGTGGGAGGGGCTTAATGGGGGCGTGGACTTTAAGGGGGGAGGTGGTGGAACTTAATAACCCCCCCCTTTAGCCCCCCCCCCTCTTCCACGACGAAAGGGCGAGTGGGAGGGGCTAAATAATCCCCCCCCCTTGCCCCCACGATGAAGGGGCGAGTGGGAGGGGCTAAATATGGGCGTGGGAGGAGCTAAATAACCCCCCCTCCACGATGAAGGGGCGAGTGGGAGGGGCTAAATATGGGCGTGGGAGGAGCTAAATAACCCCCCCACTCCCCCCTCCACGATGAAGGGGCGAGTGGGAGGAGCTAAATAACCCCCCCACTCCCCCCCTCCACGACGAAAGGGCGAGTGGGAGGGGGCTAATAACCCCCCCTTGCCCCCACGATGAAGGGGCGAGTGGGAGGGGCGACTGGGAGGGGCTAAATAGGGGCGTGGGAGGAGCTAAATAACTTCCCCTCCACGATGAAGAGGCGAGTGGGAGGGGCTAAATAACCCCCCCACTCCCCCCCTTCACGACGAAAGGGCGAGTGGGAGGGGCTAAATAATCCCCCCTTGCCCCCACGTTGAAGGGGCGACTGGGAGGGGCTAAATAGGGGCGTGGGAGGAGCTAAATAACCCCCCCTCCACGATGAAGGGGCGAGTGGGAGGGGGTTAAATAACCCCCCCTTACGTCCCCTCCACGATGAAGGGGCGAGTGGGAGGGGCGAGTGGGAGGGGCTAAATAGGGGCATGGGAGGGGCTAAATAACCCCCTCCCTTCCCTCCTCCACGATTAAGGTGCGAGTGGGAGGGGTTAAAATACGCCCCCTTTCACGATGAAGGGGCGAGTGGGAGGGGTTAAATAACCCCCCCCTTACCCCCACGATGAAGGGGTGAGTGGGAGGGGCTAAATCAACCACCCTCCCCTTCCCCCCATTCACGACGAAGGGGCGGTGCCAGCGCGTGATGTGGGGCGGGGATTTTAGTGGTGGGGGGAGGGGGGGGCGAGAGGGTGACGGGGCTGGGGAGATCTTAAGGCGTCACGTTGAGCGAACGAAGTAGCCTGGGGGAGAGGGGAGGGGTCGGGGTTAGAACCCCCTCGGGCCTAGGGGTCACATCTAGATCTGAGACCCCCTCCCCTCGGCTCCTCCCTCCCACTTGCGTGGGGGGGGGTATAGAATCAGAATCAATGTATTGATACTGGAGGAATCCGATGAGCTATAAAGCTCTTCCCCCCCCCCCACCCCCCACCCCACACACAGGAACCGAAGGGGTGAGGCTCTGGGCGTGTCCACCTGGGACCTGCGCTAATCCAAGGGGCGAGACCACGTGTGGTTGGACGTCCGTGATCAAGAGCTTTGAAGCTCATCGGATTCCTCCGGCATGAATGCGTCCTGATTTAGCAGCGGGCCGTGGGCCTGTGTGGGCGTGAGTGGTCTATTTGCTATACTTTGAGTAAGTGTCGTCAGTTTTAACCGCGTGTTTATTGTGCGCTTGTTTTACGGTGCACCGTGACTATTTTCTTTGTGAAGAGCGCTCAGTGCGCGTAGACGAAATGAAGTTGGATTGAAGTGGGTGACATCTGAGCGGGCTTTGGTTGGGTCACTGTGGGTGACATCTGAGCGGGCCGAGGGGATCAGAATCATCGTAAGCGGTTGTATTGGGTTAGATCGCGTAAATATATAAATGTTGTGTCGTTAAACCCGCCACCACCCGACACAGAACGTGGTTCACAACTCATGGTTTACGTGATAAACCTTCACCAATTGGGGCTTGTCACGTTAACAGAACGTGGTTCACAACTCAAGGTTTACGTGATAAACCTTCACCAATTGGGGGTTGTCTCGTTAACAGAACGTGGTTCACAACTCATGGTTTACGTGATAAACCTTCACCAATTGGGGTGTGTCTCGTTAACAGAACGTGGTTCACAACTCGTGGTTTACGTGATAAACCTTCACCAATTGGGGGTTGTCTCGTTAACAGAACGTGGTTCACAACTCAAGGTTTACGTGATAAACCTTCACCAATTGGGGCTTGTCACGTTAACAGAACGTGGTTCACAACTCAAGGTTTACGTGATAAACCTTCACCAATTGGGGGTTCTCACGTTAACAGAACGTGGTTCACAACTCATGGTTTACGTGATAAACCTTCACCAATTGGGGTTGTCACGTTAACAGAACGTGGTTCACAACTCATGGTTTACGTGATAAACCTTCACCAATTGGGGGTTGTCTCGTTAACAGAACGTGGTTCACAACTCATGGTTTACATGATAAACCTTCACCAATTGGGGTTTGTCACGTTAACAGAACGTGGTTCACAACTCATGGGTTACGTGATAAACCTTCACCAATTGGGGGTTCTCACGTTAACAGAACGTGGTTCACAACTCATGGTTTACGTGATAAACCTTCACCAATTGGGGGTTGTCACGTTAACAGAACGTGGTTCACAACTCATGGTTTACGTGATAAACCTTCACCAATTGGGGGTTGTCACGTTAACAGAACGCGGTTCACAACTCATGGTTTACGTGATAAGCCTTCACCAATTGGGGGTTGTCACGTTAACAGAACGTGGTTCACAACTCATGGTTTACGTGATAAACCTTCACCAATTGGGGGTTCTCACGTTAACAGAACGTGGTACACAACTCATGATTTACCTGATAAACCTTCACCAATTGGGGGTTGTCACGTTAACAGAACGTGGTACACAACTCATGATTTACCTGATAAACCTTCACCAACTGGGGTGTGTCTCGTTAACAGAACGCGGTTCACAACTCATGGTTTACGTGATAAACCTTCACTAATTGGGGTTTGTCACGTTAACAGAACGTGGTTCACAACTCATGGTTTACGTGATAAACCTTCACCAATTGGGGGTTGTCTCGTTAACAGAACGTGGTACACAACTCATGGTTTACGTGATAAACCTTCACCAATTGGGGGTTGTCACGTTAACAGAACGTGGTTCACAACTCATGGTTCACGTGATAAACCGTCACCAATTGGGGGTTGTCACGTTAACAGAACGTGGTTCACAACTCATGGTTTACGTGATAAACCTTCACCAATTGGGGGTTGTCACGTTAACAGAACGTGGTTCACAACTCATGGTTTACGTGATAAACCTTCACCAATTGGGGGTTGTCACGTTAACAGAACGTGGTACACAACTCATGGTTTACGTGATAAACCTTCACCAATTGGGGGTTCTCACGTTAACAGAACGTGGTTCACAACTCATGGTTTACGTGATAAACCTTCACCAATTGGGGGTTGTCACGTTAACAGAACGTGGTTCACAACTCATGGTTTACGTGATAAACCTTCACCAATTGGGGGTTCTCACGTTAACAGAACGTGGTTCACATCTCATGGTTTACGTGATAAACCTTCACCAATTGGGGGTTTTCACGTTAACAGAACGTGGTTCACAACTCATGGTTTACGTGATAAACCTTCACCAATTGGGGGTTGTCACGTTAACAGAACGTGGTTCACAACTCATGGTTTACGTGATAAACCTTCACCAATTGGGGGTTGTCACGTTAACAGAACGTGGTACACAACTCATGGTTTACGTGATAAACCTTCACCAATTGGGGGTTGTCACGTTAACAGAACGTGGTTCACAACTCATGGTTTACGTGATAAACCTTCACCAATTGGGGGTTTGTCACGTTAACAGAACGTGGTTCACAACTCATGGTTTACGTGATAAACCTTCACCAATTGGGGGTTGTCACGTTAACAGAACGTGGTTCACAACGCATGGTTTACGTGATAAACCTTCACCAATTGGGGGTTGTCACGTTAACAGAACGTGGGTCACAACTCATGGTTTACGTGATAAACCTTCACCAATTGGGGTTTGTCTCGTTAACAGAACGTGGTTCACAACTCATGGTTTACGTGATAAACCTTCACCAATTGGGGGTTGTCACGTTAACAGAACGTGGTTCACAACTCATGGTTTACGTGATAAACCTTCACCAATTGGGGCTTGTCTCGTTAACAGAACGTGGTACACAACTCATGGTTTACGTGATAAACCTTCACCAATTGGGGGTTGTCACGTTAACAGAATGTGGTTCACAACTCATGGTTTACGTGATAAACCTTCACCAATTGAGGGTTGTCACGTTAACAGAACGTGGTTCACAACTCATGGTTTACGTGATAAACCTTCACCAATTGGGCTTGTCACGTTAACAGAACGCGGTGCACAACTCATGGTTTACGTGATAAACCTTCACCAATTGGGGTTTGTCACGTTAACAGAACGTGGTACACAACTCATGGTTTACGTGATAAACCTTCACCAATTGGGGGTTCTCACGTTAACAGAACGTGGTTCACAACTCATGGTTTACGTGATAAACCTTCACCAATTGGGGGTTGTCACGTTAACAGAACGTGGTTCACAACTCGTGGTTTACGTGATAAACCTTCACCAATTGGGCTTGTCTCGTTAACAGAACGTGGTTCACAACTCATGGTTTACGTGATAAACCTTCACCAATTGGGGTGTGTCTCGTTAACAGAACGTGGATCACAACTCATGGTTTACGTGATAAACCTTCACCAATTGGGGGTTCTCACGTTAACAGAACGCGGTAGACAACTCATGGTTTACGTGATAAACCTTTACCAATTCGTCATGTCGGGTGGTGGCGGATTTAACGACACAACTTCTCTTGTGGATGATATCAGTCGCGAAAGCCCCATACGTATTAAACAGATAAGAATCAAAATCTGTCTTCGGATATCTCCCCACAGATA